TAGATAGATAGATAGATAGATAGATAGATAGATAGATAGATAGATAGATAGATAGATAGATAGATAGATAGATGGATGGACAGACGAACAGATTGATGGCTGGATGGACAGACGAAGATAGATAGATAGATAGATAGATAGATAGATAGATAGATAGATCAAGAAATAAAAAGTGATTTTCTTTCATCATACTTGTGTTTGGCCTCTTATAAACCTCATAACTGAATAAACAATGCTGAAATATTACTGCAAGAGGTTGTCTGGCATGCAGAAGCAAATGACCTATTTCTAAAATAAACAATGAAATAAAATAAATGCATATAATATTAATTGATCTTGCTATTTTTGCTTGCCTGCCAGTGGTTTCCCCTACAGCACTGGCATGTGTGCCTAAGGTTGCTGACCCCTGTTCTATAGAATTTATTGATTTACGTTTATGTGCAGCTGAGGTCATGCTTTACAGAAGGACAAGGGAAGTTCGCTTTCCAGTAAGTGATGCATTTAGTGGTTTTGCAGTCTGTTATTTGGCTCAGGCCTCTTACTGGCTGCCACAGTGCATGTTAAAGAAAAGTGCTGGGTTCAAAACAAGTTAAGCTCTGTCCGCAGCATCTGTGATATACAGTCGATTACCATGTAAAGTAATCCTGACTCGTCCGTCAGTTTTTAAAAACAAACAAAAATGGTGTTTATAGTACCGCACTTACAATTAGTCTATGGGGCAAGATATACTAGAGGGACGTGGGGCTCGTATTGTTGTTAAAACTGAAATCTTCCACACAGAAACGTGTTATTGAAAATGTAAATTGTTTATCCCGTGCAAATGTCTTGCCCTATAGACTTTCATTGTACGTGCACAACTGTAAATGCATATTTTGCTTATTTTTACAACTGAAGGACGAGCCAAAATTATTTTCCATGGTCATCCACAATTTTCACAGATGCTGTCCATTGAGTTTAGGTTATATGCAAACCAGAACATTCTGATGGTGTGTGTCAGGTCCATTATCATCAGTTTGTGTTAGTACAAACACTTACACTTGGTGTTGTCGGACAAAATCTGCAAACTGGCGGTCCTTGGCATACAGCTCGATAATTCGAATACGGTCCTGGATTTCCTGTTGTGAGAGCAGGAAGGTGAAAGAGGGAGAAGAAGACAGTTATATAACAAAAGAAAGTGACCTCTTTGCCCTAGCCCTAATTTTACTTCTAGACCAACTCTAGCACTTTAAACCAAGAGCAAAGGTGAGACACAGAATCTTATGAAGGATTTCTTCAATTACAGACAGTTTTACGTCAGATGAGTTGATTTTAATTTAAAGTAAAACATTTATTCAAACTAGATGGATGGATGGATAGATAGATAGAACTTTTTAGACAGACAGATAGATGAATGGATAGATATATGGATACATGCTTTCCAAATGTTATTTTTTTTTAGCTTTTCAAACATTTTTATGTATAATTTTACTACTTAAAATATTATATTTCTAAAATATAATAATCCATAATTGAACTATTGTTGCATTTTACATATTTTACATAACTATTTCATTAGTTACATTACTCTGCACTACATGTTTAATGTTATTGAAGGAATAAGTGAATAAAAGACATTTAGCCTCTTAAACTCTTTAGTGCATTCAGTTCTGTTACATAAGAAATATGATTTATCTACCCATCAAGTATTGTTTTCCAAAGAGGACATGCTTGACAATTCTCCATTGTTCAGAGTTGCCAGAATATTCTCCATTGTGAGCATATATCAGTCAAGCAGACTATGACAGTTTCATTGCTACAGGGAACAGTGCTTTAGCTGAAGGACATGGAGTGTTTTTAGGAACGTTTTTGAGGAATATTCTATGCAAACATGTGGCACAGTGAACGCTATTAAAACACCAAGTAATGCTGCAGACCACTTTCATAAACACACACAGCTGCACAGCTCTACGGACAGTGTGTACCATGAGCACTTGGTTATTTGTGTAATTATCAGCACACTCTCATGGCATTTTGTTACTTTTTTTTGTTATTTAAATGTTTTATTTTAATGTTCATTTCATTCATACTTTTTCATACAATCTACTTATGCCTCATTTGATGGTAAGGTTTAGGGGTGAACCTTCTCTAGAACAATTTTTCTAAAAATGCCTATAAATAACATACAAATTAATACGCCAGTTTGTAAATTGCTACATTTTCTAATGAATTCAGGTTATCATCAGTTTAGTTTACTGCACTTTTATTGGCATAGTTTTACTCTTTCTTTTAACGTTAATCTCATTCATACATCTTTGTATAATCTACTTTTGCCCCAGTTGACGGTTAGGTTTAAGGGTGGACGCTGATCTTACTTTTTCTAAAAATTACATTGTAATATTGTACGAATTCATGCAAAATCATCACCTCGTAAAGTAGTCACAATTTATTATCAATTCAATTCATTATCAGTTTAATTTATTGCGCTTTTATTAGCTTCATTTTGACATAACATTCGCCACGTTGCTGTGACTCGCATGACTTTCGAAAGTTGACTTTTTATATCACAAAGATGTATTTTCAATAATTTGTTAACTGAACTATCAACAACCAGGTACAATATACCAAATGAAGTTAGTTTACCTCAATCCCACAAAACTTTTTCCATGTCGAAATAAATATGGTACCTTTTTAGGTATATTAACGTGCAAGCCAACACATCATTACCTCTTTCGTAAGTTCGCTGTTCTCATAAATGTGTCGTATTTCCTCGCTGCTGAAGTCCGTGGAGGTCTCAGCGCTGCCAGTGCTATACGCAGGGGCATCTGGGTAGCGGCAGTAGTACTGATTATAGCCTGTAGTTGCTTCACTTTCAAACATGGGATTGTACTTAGTAGCTCTTTCTAGAGATGGCACGTTCTCTGAATATCTGTGAAAAAATGTCAGGAAATAAAAGTCCGATTATGGACTGCAACATCAACAAAAATGAGCCTTGGTGCTTATTTGGGAAACACAGGTTCGAATCTAATCCAAAAAATAATGTTCAAACCTAAAAAAATGGGTTGTATCTGGGATCAAACATGCCCTTGGCATGAGTTCGTAAAAGTAGCAGATCGTCCCTCCTATTTATATCTGCCCAAGGGTCAGATAGTGGAGCCACGGAAAAAGTGATTGGATTATTTCTGGCCGAGTGAGAGCGGCTCAATGTTCTGCCATCCCGGCATTCATTCCTCTATAACCTGTTGATCAGGATCACTGATAGATCCCCTGCAGAGACGTTACGCCATCGTATGTCTGCCGGGATTTCCCTGTTTGCCCTGGTGCTAGTGAAGCAAACAGGTTTAAGTCTGCCATGTTTATGTTTACAGAAAAAAGTATTGAAAAAATACAGAAAAAGTATTTTTGTATTAAGTATTTTAAGTATGTAAACTGTATGGTCCCATGATAATTTTTAGTGCATGTATGAAGACAGATCTATGTTTGACCACCACAATATGTTTTGCCTTTAAAATAAATTGAAATTTGTTCAGATATTGTACTAATTCAGTCACAGTTGTCTAATACATTGTGGATTAATGCTACATTCAAGTCCTCCTGGGATGTTCGTACTTACGAGTTGACAAGTCATAATTATGACATCAGGTGCGTTCAAATTACTTTGGTTGAAACAAGATGGCAATTTAACTTTTCTACATAATATTCAATGATTGTGTTTTTAACTCTACATCTACAAAATGATGAATAAAGAATGTGTATCATTGTGCTTTTGCTTTTTAGATGATGTAAACTGAATAATTATATACCATGTATAATATGGTAATTATACAGTAATATTTTGTATATGTAACTAGGGCTGGACAATAATTCAATATCAATATGTATCACGATATAATTTTTTTCAATAACGGTGATATGATTTTTAAACACATTTCGATATTCATTACCAGTGTTTCCCATACATTGATTTATTTGTAGCGTTTGACTTGAATAAACATGAGCACTGCATGTTTCAAAATCAAAATGCGTCGCGGGTGTTTTATTTGACTGTATCTCTGAAGAGAACCGACTGTCTTCAGAAAAGTTTCGATGGCATTTTAATTTTTTCTGATAAAGTAGCGTTCATGAGCGGAGCTGCTTTGATTACAGCCATTACAGAAGAAACCGCTAGTTCTGCCGCTCTCAAAGCGCCTCCTGCTGGCAGACAATCAGTGTGCATTTTCAATTATAAACCCATCTCCAGCAATGTTTTTGTTGTTGCTCAATTTTTTTGGTTTTCTGCAGCAACTCAGAACACTTTTAATAATCTTTATCCTGGCTGAAGCGCATTTGTTTCAATCTATAAGAAGGTTTTTTAACAGTAAGAATTTTTTTTTAAGAGTTCTCTTCTGCTCACCAAGCCTGCATTTATTTGATCCAAAGTACAGCAAAAACAGTACAAATCTGAAATTATTTAATTATTTAAAATAACTGCTTTCTATTTGAATATATTTTAAAATGTAATTTATTGCTGAGATCAAAGCTGAATTTTCAGTATCGTTACTCCAGTCTTCAGTGTCACATGATCCAGAAATCATTCTAATATGCTTATTTGCTGATTATTAATATTTAAAACAGTTGAGTAAAAATTTTTTTCAGGATTCTATGATGAATAGAAAGATACAAAGATCAGCATTTATCTGAAATAAAAAGCTTTTGTAACATTATACACTATACCATTCAAAAGCTTGGAGTCAGTATAATATTAAAAAAAAAAAATTTTTTGGGACGGGGGGGAAATTATAGAAATTTATATTTTTATTTAGCAAGGATGCTTTATATTGATCAAAAGTGACGATAAAGACATTTATAATGTTACGAAAGATGTCTATTTCAGATAAATGCTGTTCTTCTGAACTTTCTATTCATCAAAGAAACCTGAAAAAAATTCTGCGCTGTTTTCAACATAATAATCAACATTAATAAGGTGAGTCTGAGGTGTTTATTTGACAGTGATTTCACATTTCTTGTTTGTATAAAGGCTAAATACAAATAAAAGGTGAACATTAATTAATTATTTTTTTTCAAAAAATGAAATAGTTTTATAGAAAGAGGTTTCATAGACTTGGCAAATACATTTTACATAAGTTTGTAGGTACAGACATCTGTTGTGGGTGTTCTTGGCAATTATATTGTATCGACCGAAATTAAGAAATATATTGTGATATAAATTTTGGCCATATTGTCCAGCCCTATATGTAACTTATATAGCTTTATTGTACATTACAAAAATGTTTACAAAAAAATAATTACCATCATTACAAAATTTACCATCAATACAGGCGCTGCATATCTATAGTCTTTGGCTGCATCGATTGCATCCAACACGTTTTTTCAATGTATGTTATCTAGAGCTGACGGATATAACAAAAAAACTGGCATCTGTTCTATCATTATGATGTATCAGATGATGTACTATGATGTATATAATGTATCAAAATGTGTTCAAAATAAAACTTATAACAGGAACAACTTGTCCAAAAAATTATAATTGATCCAACCTGCACATGCCTAAGAACATTTGTTTAATAACGACCAAAGAGAACATATTGTGTGGCTTATTCATACAAGGTCATAAAAACAAAATACACACGTTTGGGCCATAAAATATTGCAGTGCGCTCCATATGTATGTTCCAGAACGCAGTGCTTTCAAACACAATCACAGCTGAGAATATTTGGTTCCTTTTCAACCAGGTTAGGAAACCAAATGTCATTTAACAAGTTGGAACATGCAACATTATTTTTCTTTTGGGGCCTCAGAGGAAACTCAAATCACATTTCAGAGTACTTGTATTTACAGCACTCATTCAAAACACTGACAGAATGCTTTAAAAGGGCCATTTAGGCTTCACATGTGCACCATAGAAGTCATTCAAATGAATTGAACCGATATTAATAATCCACTTTGTAGTCCACTAAGGAGTTCTGCTTGTTCTGAAGTTTAAAGAAAGACATAAGCTTCTTAATTTCTTCCAAAAAATATGATCTTATGATTTATTTGGAGCATTAAGAGTGTGTTTGTTATGCTGTAAGCACAGTTTGTACCGTAAAGGGTCTTCTGAATCATCCGTATCATACTGGTCTCGCAGAGTTCTGGCGAGGAAAAAGATCACGCCCGAAGCCACGAGGAGGAACCCAGCGACTGAGGCGATGGCGATCCCAACCACCAGTGGTTCTGACACATACTCCTCACAGTGTTCACCTCGATACCACCAGTTTTCACCGACTCGACACCTAAAAACAAAGGTGAGTGAATTTCATTTTTGGCCGTGTTGTTGCTTTAGGAGATTTTTTACAGTACACACCTGCAAATGGCGCCCTTGCCAGGTATGATGTCACATTTCCCATCATTCTGGCAGAAGTCTTCCTGTATGTCGCAGATACTCTGACATGGCAGCCCATCCACGCTAAAATAGCCAGCTTTACAAACACACTCTGCCTCGCCGGACCAGCGGTTGACTAAACACTGGGAGAACTCATTACATGCTTGGAACTTACATGGATCAGCATGGTCACCTACCAGAAAGAAAAAGACCTTAAAAGACATGAATTGTTACTTAATAATGACATTTATTAACTGACATTTTACACCTTGAAAAAAAGCACCAAAAAGCAGTGGAGTATGTTATTGATATTTTGTGAAAATAGTTTTTTAAAAATATTAAAAGATTGTGTCAAACTATTAAGATTCTTTCTTTCTTTCTTTCTTTTTTTTTTAATGAGGCTTTTTTTTTCTTCATAATGATACCAGGAACAACTATCACTCTGACAGAGAGCTGTATTCAAGTCATTGTTTATGTGAATTTAACTTTTATATATTTTTGAAATAATAATCCAAACAAATATCCAAACAGAAACATCATGTCATCGATTTTTCCGATATAAAATTAAGATGGAATACAGTGACGTTAAAAGTTTGGATGTCAGTTGATAAATGTTACTATTTTTGCATTTGCTGCAATTGCTATATAAGCATTATTACAATTCATTACAAATGTGGCGTCAAAACAAAGATAATTTTCTGATTTCAAATTCATCAGCGGTTGGTCATTAGAGATGTGTGTTGACAAAGGAGCTCAGAGAGAATTTACACAGGGACACAAACAAATATGACTCACTTGCCTGACGCGTTGAGCTCTGCACGCCTCACAAGAATAAATCACCTCTAATCTGTCTGCAGTACAGAATCAATCTCTTATCCCTCACCCCAACCAGGCCTATTTTTTCCAAAGCCAGACTGGAATAAGTCTAACCTTGTGTCCTGTAGCATAGGAGAAACCTGCTAAATATTGTTCAAAATGCCAGAGATCTACCATTTTGGAGGTGTGCCAGCAAAATGCACAACCCTTCCGATATTCTTGTCCCTAAGTATGTCTAAGGTATTTTTTACCCATTTTAATGCCTGTTCAATTACAATTGTTTAGTAGCCTTTCAGTACTGATATCAATTGAAGAAATGTTTCTTTTGCCAATCATAGTCTGGCTCCTGTAACATATATGAGTCACAAAGCCTCCCTATGTAGCACACTTAAAAAAAACACTAAACAACAAAACAAAACAATGAAACATATGAAACATAAGTGGTGCACAAACTGTGAAAATCTATAACAAATAGTGCTAAATCCCAGTCATGACTGGTGCTAATAATTTTAGGATTTAAAATTACTTTGAATTGGCAGCAAATGCATAATATGGCAGGCATTTTGCCCTTTAAAGAATCAAATAATGTTTGGTGAATATTGTTGGCCATAGGCGGTACCAAAAATTTGCTTGTGTCTTCATATCAGCTAACCCCAATTTGTTTTGTTTTGTGTGTATATGCAAGTTCTTTGAGTTACCTGATTCAACATCCAATGAATACTTGTCTATTGCAAGATTCATAGTTTGGTAAGCAGTATTGCAGAAGTCCTCCAGGATAAGGTAAACTGCTGTTGTCACACCACGGGGAACTGGCTTGCCAAACTTCATCCTGCTGTTTACCACAATGCTGCCATTCCTGAAGTTCAAGATCTCTAAATTCTGAAAATTGCTGAGGTTGGACTGTAGATATGGCACAAGCTAGAAAAGAAAAAAAAAAGAATTCAAGCATATTCCAGTGAGCAGCAATACAGAACCACGCATACCTAGTTACGTTAATAGAATTCAAGAAGGTGACTGAAGATTCTAATTCCATCAATTATCTCATTAGTTAGTGTTCATAAAGACAGCTATGCTAATGGAGTTAACGGATAGTATGCAAAGCCCCTAACAAACTCTCCTACAACAACAAACATCAACAAATCTAAACTGATGTGTGTGTAACCTCAGAATGTGCTTTTCGGAATCGTTTACCCCAAAATGAAAATGTTGTCATCATTGAAGACTTCCTTGGAACACAAATGATTGAAGTGCAATTAAAGTGATCAGTCCCAAACATTCTCTCTAACATCCCTTTGGGTTCCTTAATGGTCGTTACTGACTAAAAACATGTTAAAAACCAATTGTGATTAATAACTCAAGGCCTTCTAACTGATGTTTTGCTTTCCATAAAGAAGAGTACCTAACAATGTAAGAACGTAACAAATATATCTTACCAGCTCTTGAAATTGCTGCTCAAGAGCCTTGTATTCAGTAGAGCTCTTGTTGAACAGATCTTCAGAAAACATCATGTTGGTGACCCTGAGGCTGAAAAACACTATTAACGCCCTTCCAGGACTGGCTGGCAAGGCAATACTTGCCAAGTCAGTCGCACGAGCAAATCCACTACCGTCGTCTTTGCCATGGCTTGGCCCATCAAATGGGAATATGTCAAAAGAAACATCAAATTCTCTTATGTTGGGGTTTACTGGAGCAGGAACTTTCATAGTAGCAGCATCAGAGTTCACTGGTTTGGTAGGTAGGATGAGGCCTGTGATGTCAGGTCTTGACCCTACTGTGTGCTCTTGCACAGAGTCATCTGAAGTTATTTGTTTGGTAGGTTTGAATGTTGGCTGATAAAATGATGGTACAGTGGTGGAACTGAGGGTCTCCAAATGTTCTGAAACATCTGGAATGACAGACATTGTGGACTGAAATATTTTAGTTGAGTCTCCATCTTCAATATTCCCTGATAAAACAGGCTCATTTGCAACAGTTGCATTAAAAGTGTGAATTATATTGGTTTGAGTCTCTGGAGTCATCTCTTGAAGAACCGAATGAGTAGATGGTTGAGTAGGTAGAGGTTCTGTGGTTGATTCTAATAAAGGTTCAGCCTCATCTATTGATGAATGGGATATCCGAGCGAATGGTGAGTCCTTCTCAGGAGACAGGGAAGCTAAATGACCTACAATTGGCTCTTCAGTAGCTATTGTTGTTGGAGATGTTGTTGCGACCAATATTTCATCCCCAGCTAAATCCTCCTCTGAGAGTTTAGTCGCTGGGCTTTCTGTAGGCATAAGCTTGATGCCTTCCATCTCCTCATCTAGTATCTTGACTTCTTCATTTGAACCTTCTAACTCTGGCCATAAGAATGCAGGTAATTCTGTGACACCTTTGGTTACAGGATGCACAACAGCTTCTGAATAAGTAGTAGGACCTTCCACAGAAACTGCATCAATTTCTAGGATTACAGGTATTTGCGTGGTTGAAGGCATTTCATTTGACTTTGTTGTGGAGGCCAGCGTTTCCTGAATCTGCTTGTATTCTGTTGATGTAGTATGTTCATCCATAGCTACTGCTGTGCTTGGTGGGATCACAGTGGGTGTAACAGGTCGTTCTGAATAGTCCTTATCAGCAGGTGAAATTATTGTATCAGGACTTTGTGATGCATCCACCTCTTGGGTTTCTGCTGAAGTGTAGACATGTAGCAAGGGTCGACTGGTCACATGTGTAACCATAGTGGTAGATTCATCTGGAAAATAGTCATCATATTGTTCAGGGGCTACTTGAGTCTGCATAGAAAGCTCGACAGTCAAAGTCTCCATTGTCCAAAAAACCGGAGCCTGGTCAGTTGTTGTGTAGTGAGGATTAGAATGAATATCTTGTGTCACAAGAACCCTGTCCAAGAATGGCTCATTGGGTGTCAGATCTTGGTGGGGAGGCTCAAGCTGTTCCTCTATAGATTCCTGATTTTCCTGAAGTTGGTGCACCTCATCTTCCTTCAAGACTTCTTCTGGTGTTCCTGACTCCCAAGGCCAAATGGCAGGACCTAGATGATCCCCAGAGAAACCTGAGCCTGAACCCAGGTCTATCAAGTCACTCTGAGTAGTCAACTCAACATCAGGAGGTTCCACAGGAGAAACTGAGTTCTCTTCCAACTTGTGAGGTGATTCCGAAGGTAAGGCAACTTCAGTTATCGTGCCTGTGGTAGGACTGACTGTAGTTGCAGTTTGTAAGAATCCATCCTCTTCAAGAATACCATCATCTGAAACAAGAATGCAACATTTTAGAACCATATTACTGCCTTTAGGTGGGAAATAATTCATGAGAGGTAAGACTCACTCTCTGTAGCAGGAGCAGGGGCACTGCTTGAGGTCTCAAATTTAGAGGTAAGCTCAATGTCAAAGTTCTTCAAAGACACATCTGTGGGAGACAGAGTGGGACTTTCCTCAAAGATGATTACATCATTTGTGTCCTTATTCCGATCATCCATCCAGGGATCTATTGTGTGAATGTGGTCAAGGAAGTCATTATTTGTAATGAAGATGTCATTGTTGGATAATTCCTGCCTGGGAACAGCTGGTGGCTTCTCAGAGACAAGAACATTATCCTAGAATTTAATGATTGAACAGTCATGGTTAGTTACTATTGACTGCTAAATTATTTTTTAGAAATAAAGCAAATATATTTAAGGTAGGTCTACAAAAAAGGTTTCTGACAAAAAGATGAGCCAAAAGAGCCTATAACTTTCCACACTGATGCCTATGTCCACTGAATGTTCTAATGTTTCAGCTGTTAAAATTATGTCCATCATTTGACAATCAAAAAATAGAAAAATAGAAGTGGACAGAATGAAAAAAGTGCACTTTTGGTGTAAGTGGAAGACATTTTCCTCAAACGTCTTAGTGAATTACACTGGAAAAACATCATCTTTTTTTCTAGAGATATGTCAGTGGAAAAATTGCATAGACATACTAAAAAAAGTACACATGCACATGATCTTCACACCATCCTGAGGATCTGGTCCTAGTTGGGTTATTGACTAATGCATATTTGACCAGAAGACAGTCTTTAACTGTTCCATACACCAGAAATTAACATTTAACCTTCATGCAGATTTGGAATATGTCATGTTGTATATATAACAACTGGTTGTATATACATTCATGAGTTATTCACACCATTTTATTTTTATGCAAGTAATGAGTGAGGTGCTACTGGAACTAGATCACCGTCAGTTGCACACACTGGCCTCATTCATGAAACCCGAGCAGCACGAATTTCCATGTAAATCATTCGTAAAACCATTCTTAAGTAAACTGTCACTTTTAATTCAGTGCGACTATTTACATAAGGATGGTTTCACTAATAATTTACACAAAAATTAGTTATACTCGTATTTCTTGAATTAGGTCCACTGACCATTTAATTAAAATGGCTAGACTGACTTTCCTATAGAACTAGTTTTATGCACCCTACTAGTTAGGTTTATAATTTGCATAAACAGCTAGCTGATCACACAAACAAATATCCATCTCAAAAACAGGACAGATCAGATAAAGCATCAACTTCCAATTAACCTTAAGTAACTAACATGTGTCCTTGGAGGCAAGCATACTATTACCTGAGAGAGAGAACACATTTCCAGATACAGACATGGACACAGCGCACCAGCCAAAACAAGACAGTAAATCTACTTAATAAGGGTATTGAAAGAAGTGCCAGTTTTGTCAAATGTAAAAGGAAAAACCGAGAGTAAATTCTAAGATTATTGCCATGTTTGCTATCCAATGTGTCTTTCTAATTAAACTACAGACTGTGAAGAAAGCTGCTCGGCCTCTGCAATAAATATATGTCACACTGAGATTAAAAACAGATTCTTTTCAATATTTCATAGTGCCTGAGCTAAACAATTTTAATAAAATAGCATGCTTACTTGTGTCTAGAGAATACTTGAGCTGGAAAATTGACTTGAATAGTTTTACAGACCTGCTGTATTATCCAATAGCTGTGCTATAATCTGTTTTAATGACATGCCATGAAAACCCATTTTATGTGCAAGGTAATCTTTCTTATCATGTAACAACAAAAACCTACATGTGATTGCCATTAGTGTGACTCATTTTTCATTTAACAGCTTTGGAAGGATTCACGTTCACACTTGAGAGTAATTGCACTGCAACGAGGTGAAAAAACTCTGAATCCTAAACTGCAGCTCTGGATAGGGATTCTGGACTGGACAGTCATGGTTACCCGTTTACTGGGTGGTCCTGCCAATGACCATTGACTCACCATCATGTCACTGGAGTCAAGCGGTCTGCTGGTTGGTTTGGAAGACTCCAGTGTCTCCACTGTGAAACCAAAACAGAGACAAATCATATCAAATTATATTTAAAACTGCTCAAGCACAGTTCATACACATACTGGCGTCACTTCAAGAGATTGTCTCTGAGGGCTGCAAGATTAGTCTGCCAAAACCAGAGATAAGAACCATGAAGGCTCTTGCTTCTGTTTAAACCGCCAAGCAGTGTAAGAGGATATGCCACCATTGTCAACATACTGCATTTCGGGTTCATTCAGCTACAGTTTGCAATTTACCACTAAGACAGAACACAAACTTGAACCTGAATGTTTATAAGAAACATCAGTAAGAAGCACTCAACTCAACACCCTGATGTCTTGGGTTCCCTATAATGGATCCACAATGTGTCTCTACTTCTTAGAGAATGTCTTACCATTTTCCAGCTGCAAAGAATCAGGGTCCACTTCCAGAGTGGTGTTTCTGATGAAATTCTCCTTGTGGAGGGCTCCGGTGATGTAGTTTCGGAAGTCGGTGATGGTGTAGACCACAGTAGGTAGCTCATCAGGATCTGTGAAGGAGTTCTCAATCATGTTGGAATGTAGGTTTATGTAATCCATGGTCTCATTACTTATTCCTGCACCATCACTCCCAAGAACCACAGCGTAGTGTACCACCACAGCCAGGCCTCTGAGGAATGCAAAGAAAACGGACTGTTTGAGGTAAAAAACAAAAAAACAAAAACATACTATGCTTCGTCAAAGGCCTAATTGGCTATAAACTGGCCTCAAGACAGGAGCTGTTATGTGTGAAATGACTCATCTACAGTATAGCAGGAAGTTTCCATGTTGGGGCCTGCTATCTGTTTTTGTCAGTTTGTCATATTTGACCATATTCTACAACTTTGTTTACATAATTCCTATGCCAAGTGGTAAATTAAAGTGAAATAAATTCAGAGAAGAACAGCTTACAGTAAATGGCCTAAGGTGACTTGGTGGTTTTAGATGGATTAATGTCTAGTTGTTCTACTTGCACCACCAAGCTGGTCTGGTTGGTCTCCTAGCCTGGTTAAGCTGGTTTAACTCATCAGCCACCTGATGTCCCAGTCTAACCAGCTGAAAAGTGATGGTTAACCACCATGGACAGGCTAAGAGACACTGGTTTAAGCTGTTTTCAGTTTTTTAGTAGCTAGCAACCAAAAAATGTCACAGAATATGCAGCAGCCAGCTGTTGGTTACTAGGGGAAATAAAAAATCTAAAAAATATTGGGAGTGAAGAAAGCTGACCTAGATTTTTTTTCCACATATTTTTCTATGAAGGTTAGAAAACCTAGTGTGTTTACGACCAGATCAATTTTCTCTCCTTTGACAGATAAAACCTCCACGAGGATTCAATTTCTTTGGCACACCAGAAATGCTAATTAGTTTTAAATGGCTTTAAGTGAGAACATCTCTGTTCTCAGGCGGTTTAAGGGGCCTCATAAAGCTCACAATATGCAGATATCCATTGTGTGGGTTATCTGAGGCCTCACTGATAAACCATGGGAAACATTGCCGTGATACATTGCCTTGAGAGCAGAGAACATTTAGCATTCAATCGCATCATGCTTGGCAACTAGGCATGCATTTAGCACAGCGACTTATCACATTTAAGGTGGCAATTGCCCAGACAAAGTAGCCCATAGATACACACACATAAGATGTCACACCTAAAAGACCATCCTTTCAGACAATTGATTTTGCAAGGCTAATGAGGCAGCAACCACATGACCTTACCAAGAAAACAGTGTGAAAGCGATTTCAGAGCAACGCTCTATAAAACACTACATATGGTGGGTGGAAAATTCAGGCACATGAATTTCTCATTAGATGTTTTGGAGGAGATATGGGTCATGCAGCTGTGTGATATGGCAGGGTGGGGAGATGGATTTATCAGGCCTGGTTGAAACATCGCAGAAATATTAGTAGTGATAGCACAAATTACATTAATAATAGTTTTCTTCATTTTGAGATGTGATTAACTGTGATTTATAAAAGTGTTAGAATACTTACCCTTCAATGTCCTTCTGTGGCCTGGGATATTTTATTAAGAAAAAAAAAATGTTATTCAGAAATCAACATATATTCTTTTGCTATTATTTGTATTATTATTTTTATCTGTATGCATTATCATATATATTACCATAAAAATCATACCTGAACTCAAGGACGAATATTTTCTTGAAACCTGGGAGCCTTTTAAAAACTTCTTCAATCTTCAAAAAGAAAAAAAGAAAAGAAAAAAGGAAGGAGATGCTATAAATGTACAAATATATATAT